TCTCTTGTTAACAATATGATATAAATCACTTCATGGGCATTTGGTCCATAAGTTGCTTTATATTTTTCTTTAATTTTTGCGTTCTATTAAACGTCCTATCTAAATGACATGCCAATACTAAAAAGTTCCAAATGATGTATTATTCTAATCAGTCCTGAAGCTTGTGCTGCAATATTGTGGAAATCTTCTAAAGCCGCTCCAAAGGTTAGCATTCATTAATATCAACTTTAATGGTTATTTGAGGCATCTTGTCTTTTGTTTCACGTATTTTGGTCGACTCTGTGAATCTATAGGCAGCCGAAAAGTTAAGAATAACAGCTCAGGAACATCACAAACGTGGAATTGCTGATGGTATTATTCCTGTAAGTACATTGATCCTTCTCTGTGTTTCTCTTGTGACCTGTATGCTCTTATGGATGCTCGAATATTTTAGGAAATTATATCTCTTTGTTCTCTGTTTCAATAAAAACTTTGGTTACATGCCATAAACAGTTGAACTTTCAGGGAATGTGAATTGATTGTTCCTCCTTGGAATCTGTACGGCACATAAAATGATTCACACTATTCTGCTAGCTAACTATCAACTAAAAACTTGTTCAGAGAAGCAATGACTTCCAGGACATTAGTCGGGATCTGTAAATGTTCTGAATACACACTCACACGCACACACAGAGATCTGTAGGTGAAGTTATGGGCTAGAACAAAAGCCTATCTTAGAAATAAATGGGCAAAAGTACATCAGAATATCAGAATACTCTTGGCTATGGATAAGATAAGTAACCTTATTTACATTTGATTTGAGGAAAAATGAGTGATAACTATGGGATAATCAGAATATTATATGTAAGGTATTTCTTGTTTTCCACAAAATTCAAATTCATAGATAGTGGTGCTCTTGTTTACATTTCTACGCACAGGAACCACTTGGTGGTGCACATGCTGATCCTGCATGGACGTCACAGCTAATTAAACATGCAATCATGCAGGCTATGGAGGTATTTACGTCTGGCATATATGAATTTTAATCTCTGAAATTGCAATTTATTCCCCTCTTAAACTTTCCCAAGATATGTTCACGCATACCTTCTTTCTTTGCTTCAAAAACCTAAACGTGACTTTAAGCCATTTACAAATAAATATATACCAAGAAGGAATTTTTTTCTTGTCATTCTTAGAGCTTTTTTATATTGTAGTTCCTTTTGTGGCTTGTTACTGATAGAAACTCTGGAATCTACACAGCAACAACAACAAACAACAACAACAAGCCTTTATCCCACTAGGTGGGGTCGGCTACATGGATTGCAAGACGCCATTGTGCTCTATCATTTATCAAGCTTTTAGGAATATTATTAATTAAGAGATCGTGTTCAACAACTTCCAAGAGTGTTCTCTTAGGCCTTCCTCTACCTCTCTTAATCGGACTCAAAGTTATATGTTCCACTCTTCTCACTGGTGCCTCCCTTGGTCTTCTTTGTACATGCCCAAACCATCTCAACCGATTTTCTATCATTTTTTCCTCAATAGGTGCCACCCTCACTTTTTCGTGTACGTGCTCATTTTGAATTTTATCTTTACGTGTATGTCCGCACATCCATCGTAACATTCTCATCTCTGCTACTCCAACTTTATGCTCTTGCTGTCCTGTTAGAGCCCAGCATTCACTACTATATAACATTGTCGGTCTGATAGCAATGTGATAAAACTTTCCTTTAAGTTTATTAGGCACCTTACGGTCACAAATAACTCCTTTAGCTTTTCTCCAATTAAACCACCCAGCTTGAATTCTATGTGAAATATCTCCACTGATTTCGCCATCATTTTGAATAATGGCTCCCAAATATCTAAACTTTTTCACTTGAGGTATAATTTGATCTCCCAATTTCACTTTCAAATTATTGTCGAATATTCCTTTACCAAATTTACAATATAAATATTTCGTCTTACTTCTACTCAGACGAAAACCTTTCGACTCCAATGTCCTCCTCCATAACTCAAGTTTACAATTAACCTCTTCTCTTGTCTCTGCTATAAGAACTATATCATCCGCGAAGAGCATACATTTCGGGATTTCCTTTTGAATATGTTCCGTCAAAACATTTAACATCAAGTTGAACAAATAAGGACTCAGAGATGGTCCCTGATGTAGTCCAATTTTTATAGGAAAATCCTTTATTTGATCACTAGGTGTTCTTATACTAGTTTTTACCCCCTCATACATATCTTGTATGGCTTTAATATAAGCAATTCGTACTCCCTTTTTTCCAACGCTTTCCAAAGCACTTCTCTTGGTATACAGTCATAAGCTTTTTCCAAATCAATAAAAATCATGTGTAGATCTTTATGTTTACAACGATACTTTTCCATTAATCCCCTTAGTAGATAAATCGCCTTTGTAGTTGATCTACCTGGCATAAAACCAAATTGATTCTCAGAAATACTTGTCTCCAATCTCAACTTATGCTCAATTACTTTCTCCCACAAATTTCATTGTGTGGCTTATGAGTTTAATCCCTCTATAGTTAGTATAATTCTGAATATCTCCTTTATTTTTATAAATAAGAATTAATGTACTTCTCCTCCACTTATCAGGCATTTTCTTGGACCGTAAAATCACATTAAATAACTTAGTTAATCATCTCACCCCTTCTTCACCTAAACATTTCCACGCTTCGATAGATATACAATCAGATCTGTTGGCTCTACCATTTGCCATTTTTTTAAGAGCTTCCTTTACCTCCTTATCACGTATTATTCGATAGAATGAGAAATTTTGTTCTCCTTCATCAGTTACTAAATCCTCCAAGTTACTAGATGAATCCTCTCCAAGTTACTAGTTCTGGAATCTACACAGGAGATGGAAAAAATGGATTCAAAAGAGGTACAACGCCATCGAATGCTCAAGTTCCAGTCAATTGGAAAAGTGCAAGAAGGCATAATTGTAGAACCAAAGAGGAAGCGTAACATGAAGCCACTTGATGTGAACACTTCTAAGATCACGGATATTGAGTCCGAGCTCCAAAATCTCAAGAAGACAATTTTTGAAACAAAGGGACAATCTGATCCTATTACAGAGGAAGCAATAGAGAAGAGCGAGCAAGAAGTAGACCAAGAGATAACAGATGTACTTGTTGAAATGGGATTAGAAGAGAAGATTGAGTCTTTAAGGCTGGAATTATCTAAAATCGCAAATCACTCACCGAATCAACCCCTTGATCGTAACCTGAAGGAAAAAGTGGATATGATCATGCAAGAATTCAATGACAACTTGTCACGGCCAGGTGCTTATCTGGGATTGAAGCATAAGCTTCAGAAGCTAGAAGCTGTGAACAGACTGATTGTTATGAAAGTCAAACAAGAGAAACTTAAAGCAGAGATCAATCAGAAGGTTTCGGATGATATCAAGGCAAAGATAGTAAACTTGAAGGACGCTCAAGAAAAGCTATCAAATGGGAATTCACCAAACAAAGAATTGGTGGCAGAAGCAGAGACAACAAAGGAAGAGCTAGAAGAGATCTTGAGATCAGCTAATCTGGAGGTTGTTAAAGTAGTGAAGAGAAGAGCAACTAACCTTCCGCCTGATGTAAAACAGAAAATAATAGAGGTGAACAATGAAATCTACAGTGAAATTGACAAGGTTGTAAATTCAAAAGGCCTTAAACAAAAAGTTCGAGAGTTGGAAGATGAGCTGGCTAAAGGATCAAGCCCTAAGGATGTAGAAAATATTGAAGCAGATATCAAAGAGAGTATTCTTTCTTCCTTGAATGTCACAGCTCTGAAGGAAAAGATTGATGGTCTGAAAATGGAAGTAGAATCCAAGTCAGAAGTTTCTGAAGCAAGGTTGGTGTGGAAAATGGTAGACACTAGATGTTGAGGTTACTTTATGTGAGTGATAACTGTTGAAAATATATTATTTATTATTGATATCACAACACTACTTTTGTTTGTTCAGTAAACAAAAGTTGGCAACAAATGAGATTCTATAAAGTTTAAGTTACAGCTGCTTTTAAATAACTACTGATAATCATAATTGAAATTCTCCAAACCGGCATATGTTTTCACTTTTCAGTGTTGGGGTTGGAGATACATGAGGGATGTGATGATGAATGTGTTAACAAATCTGTGTAAAAGGTGGCATATGTGCAAAAATATATTCAATCCATTTTGATCAAAGCTGAGTCATGATAAGTAAATTCAGTGAAATAAGAATTGACTTCTCTAATGTTATTGGATCTTAAACGGTACTCTCTCCGAGCATCCCCCCCCCCCTTTCGCATGTGATTTGCAGTTCTGACTCAAATTAAATAGAAATTCAATTCAAAATCTCAAAGGAGGAATATGCTAAGAGTGTTGTTACGAGCTCTTATATATATATATATATATATATATATGAGAGCCAGTTTTATGTATTCTAGTGATTGTTCTTGGTGCTTCATTAACAACAGAAACTTATTGCGGCAAACTTGAAGGATAAATTGAATTGAAATAAACTGGGTATGAAATTCATAGTTAAAAAAAAAATAAAAAACCTCATGAATGAGATGAGATATCATCTTTCACCAATCAATTGGATTGAACTATGGTTTTAGATTGTGTAGGGAGAGAAATACAAATAAAAAATTGAAGATAATCAGATTTATTGTGTCTTCACCTAATAGGGGACCGCAATTAAAAATTAAAAGTTGAAGCGTACTTATAAACTGATTTAAAATTTATGTGCATGATTCTTAGTACAATGAAATCAAGTTGAGATAGACAAGAGAGTCATTTAAAATTAAAAATATTATAATGCATAAGGATTAACAAAATCTCGAGAGTTGATTAAAATGATTTAAAATATAAAGATTGATTTAAAAATAAAGGTAGCAACTGGCAAAGAGTATTTTTCATATATAATAATATGCGCATAGAATAGAAGCATCACACACACGCAAACGTGTGGAAAACTTAAAATGAGACCTGCGGCTCAAATAACTCGGGCTAAAACTTAAAATGAATCGGGAACTGATTCAGCCCGATCCATCTAGTTTCCGAATTCTGATCCACTTGGGCTAAAAGCCTAAAACGTCCGAAAGACGATGGTAGGTTCTTGTCGAATGCGAAAATGGCAAGCGGGAGCTTGAAGAGCATTCTGGCTGTGGCGGTAACGCAGGGATTGACCGAGGCACGAGCAAGGATATTCGGACATGTAATCAATCCCACAGGCAAGAGATCTGCGCATAAGCTTCTGCGGAAGAAGCTTATCGGTGAGAAAGTGGCGCAGTGGTACCCTTATGACATTCAGCGAGACGACCCTCTCGTCATGGCCCAGCAAGAACAAGAGTAACTTCTCTCTTTCCCTACTCTCTCACTTGAACCACATAAACCCTAGCACATTGAATGCCTGATGTCCGTCATGTGTTTGCTCTACTGTCTCTGGTAGTATTGATTGTGGGTTATGTTTTGACTGTCAATTTGTGCAAAACTAGGTTCTTGGTTTTCTTCATTCTGTCTTTCGTTTGGGAAAATTAACAATTTGGTCATTGCTCACACTTTAAAAATGACATACGTCAAATTAATTCTCTTTTCAAGTAATTTTCAGACGTTGGAAGGATTAGCAGACAGACTTTGTAAGTTTTCGAAAATGACTCGTCATGCTCTAATTATTGAACGTGTGCACTGCATTCGTTACTTCTAATTCATGTTCTTTCTCATTTCGAAGGCTAAAATTAGATACGCTTAGCAATCCTTTCCTTTTTTCCTCATGCAATTACTGTTAAGAAAATGACATTGCTGGAAAGACTAAAGTGACCTCTTCCCCTCCCTCACCCCTCTTTTGTTGTATTTGTGGGGCTGGGGATTGATAATTAAATTGTAGGTTTAACGAAGCAAAGTTAGGCGTTCTAGATCATTGCGAATTTTGGAGACCCCATCCTTAGCAATTCTGTTTGAGACAATTGACTTCAGCTTTCTTATGATGCCGTTGTTCTCATTTGGGACTATAGAATCAGTCTATTAGTCTAAATTCCAAAGTTTTGGATACACATTGTTTGAGTTTTGTAAATCTGCTGGTAAATGACCTTCAGTTTTGAAGTTGTTTGATCTCTGAAGTCGTGTGGAATTGTCGACTACAATGTAGGTCCTTTTCTGCAATACGTAACCTTGGATGACCCGTAAATGTTCAGCCCCAATTGAACTGATTTCGAGTCTTTTCAGTTTAAATATATAGAATTATAGATATTCCCTATCTTTAGGCGGTAATTCTTGGTCTGGGGGCATGTGTTATATTTTGGTTCTTTGCTGGTTATCTGGATAATCTGTTACTATCCATGGTACCTGGTGGCTTATTTATACTGATAATAAACGAGCTTCATGGCATATCTAACATGCCCGTTGTCTGATGTTACGTGAATCTTAGTAATATGGGTTAGTCTTTTCAGCGATGTGAATTCCTTGACTGCAATTCAACACCTAAATTCAACTTGAAACAGCAATTAAATTTCACAATATTCATCTTATCTGCTATGGAATGTTCAACAATCTGTTGGGAAAATAAGATCTTTTTGGTTGTTGCTCCGCCATCTGAATGATCTGTTTGCCATTGATGTTCACTTTATGCCTGAATTTAGTTCCTTTGTTGTTGTTTTTGCAGTGTGATCTCATTTTTTTGAGAACAAAAGCTAGACCTAGGCAAGTGAAATATAGTTTTGTTTGTGTTTCCTTGGTGGGATTTCATTCTGTAGTGATTGGCTATTTTTAGTTGCCTTTTTGCCGATCACGCAATCGACAAGTTGATGCTTATTTGTCTATGAGAAAACTTCTCTAAATTCATCTATTCTTTCTAGCGCATTTATATATTTAAAAGCACAAGTTGGACAGCATGGTCATTATGGTTATCTGAAGGATGTTCTTATGTTATATCGAAACTGTTACAGCTTTAACTAATTTTATGGATAATAATTTAAGATTTTCTATGCATATTATGTTGTTCTTACAGGCGCTTATCAAGGCTGGAAATGTTGAAGCGGAGAGGAAAAGGACCCCCCAAGAAGGGCCAAGGAAGGCGCGCTACCAAACGCAACAAATAGAGATACTGGTTTTTGCTGTTTGTGGAATCAATCTATGAAAGCTGTTTTGAGCAGCAAATCTTGTTAGCTTTTTCTTTAACACCGTAAATTTGATGCGTGTAATTAGCATCTTCATCTTCATTCACTAAATTTAGTTCATTGTATGATGATTGAGAATAGGAAGAGAAAGGGTGTTTCGGACATCAAAAAAATTGAAATGCACGGTTGTGTTGTTCCTTCTCTTCCTCCTCCTATTATGGTTAGGAGTTAATTTTCTCCCTACAAAATTTTAAGGGCATGCTTTCTCATGGTCTGAGTGTTTTGGATATTACTTGGCTTTTTAAAAGCATTAAATACAGATTTATAAAAGAAACAAGCCAATTATAAAATTTTCATTTGATGGAAACTAGCATTTTATAAGAGCCTTGAGATGAAGGAAGGAGAGCAAAATATTTATAAGATTGTCAAGAGTAGGGAAAGAAAATCAAGAGATCTAGAACAGGTAAGGTGTATTAAGGATGAAAAGGGAAGAATTTTAATTACAGATGATGAAATTAAAAATAGATAGCAGATTTACTTTTCTAAGCTTTTCAATGATAGAGAGGGTTCATTTAGTAACTTGGAGGATTTAGTAACTGGTGAAGGAGAACAAAATTTGTCATTCTATCGAATAATACGTGATAAGGAGGTAAAGGAATCTCTTAAGAAAATGGCAAATGGTAGAGCCAACGGATTTGATTATATATCTATCGAAGCGTGGAAATGTTTAGGTGAAGAAGGGGTGAGATGGTTAATTAAATTATTTAATGTGATTTTACGGTCCAAGAAAATGCCTGATGAGTGGAGGAGAAGTATATTAATTCCTATTTATAAAAATAAAGGAGATATTCAGAATTGTATTAACTATAGAGGGATTAAACTCATGAACCACACGATGAAATTGTGAAAGAAAGTAATTGAGCACAGGTTCAGATTGGAGACAAGTATTTCTGAGAATCAGTTTGATTTTATGCCAAGTAGATCAATTATAGAGGCGATTTATCTACTAAGGGGATTAATGGAAAAATATCGTTGTAAAGATAAAGATCTACACATGGTTTTTATTGATTTGAAAAAAGTTTATGACCGTATACCAAGAGAAGTGCTTTAGAAAGTGTTGGAAAAAAAGAAAATACGGATTGCTTATATTAAAGCCATACAAGATATGTATGAGGGGGTAAAAACTAGTATAAAAAACGCCTAGTGGTCAAACAAAGGATTTTTCTATAAAGATTGGACTACATCAGGGATCATCTCTGAGTCCTTATTTGTTTAACTTGATCTTAAATGTTTTGACGGAACATATTCAAGGGGAAATTTCAAAATGTATGCTCTTCGCGGATGATATAGTTCTTATAGTAGAGACAAGAGAAGAGGTTAATTGCAAACTTGAGTTATGGAAGAGGACATTGGAGTCGAAAGGTTTTCGTCTGAATAGAAATAAGACGGAATATTTATATTGTAAATTTGGTAAAGGACTATTCGACAATAATTTGGAAATGAAATTGGGAAATTAAATTATACCTCAAGTGAAAAAGTTTAGATATTTGAGAACCATTATTCAAAATGATGGCGAAATCAGTGGAGATATTTCACATAGAATTCAAGTTGGGTGGTTTAATTAGAAAAAAGCTAAAGGAGTTATTTGCGACCGTAAGGTGCCTAATAAACTTAAAGGAAAGTTTTATCACACTGCTATCAGACTGGCAATGTTATATAGTAGTGAATGTTGGGCTCTAACGGGACAACAAGAGCATAAAATTGAAATAGCAGAGATGAGAATGTTATGATGGATGTGCAGACATACACGTAAAGATAAAATTCGAAATGAGCACGTATGTGAAAAAGTGAGGGTGGCACCTATTGAAGAAAAAATGGTAAAAAATCGATTGAGATAGTTTGAACATGTACAAAGAAGACCAAAGGAAGCACCAATAAGAATGAAATATATAACTTTGAGTCCGATTAAGAGAGGTAGAGGAAGGCTTAAGAGAACACTCTTGAAAGTTGTTAAACGCGATCTTTTAATTAATAATATTCTTAAAAAGTTGATAAATGATAAAGTACAATGACATTTTACAATCCATGTAGCCGACCCCACCTAATGGAATAAAAGCTTGTTGTTGTTGATGGAAACTAGCATTTTATGAATAGTTGAATGGGTGCTTTCAATGAAATAGTAGAGTAAGATTTTTAAGATTGATTACCATTTTACAACATAAGGTGGTACGCTAAAAAGGATGCTTTGTGGAGTAGATGCAAACCCTTGTTTTTGAATAGATGATAACGAAGTTAAAATTTTTACACCTCAATTCACAGCATACGGTCATTTGAATAAGCTGATAGATGACAATAACAGTGAAAATTCTCAAATATGAAGTTACAAAGGGTCAATGACAGAGAAGCCTCTTAACCATAATACAGTCATGGTGCATTTAACGGGAGAAGACTCTAGAACAAGGTAACTGGCTAGAGTGATTAATAAGTTCCACTTACCAGGCAACAAAATCATTGTAAATTGTCACACACAACGTGCAATTAAAGAAACTGAAAAACACTTGCTCTAGCCAACTTCAAAAAAATATAAAATAAAAATTTATTAGAAGTATCAACCAATCAGCTTCTACTCACATTTGAATATATGACAATTTGATTGATATTAATTATAACAAATTAAAATATTCTTCATTGTTTATTAATCATATTAAATTAGAATATCAATATTAATTATGGTGTGAATAGAACGTAAGCTTTGAGTACTAAAAATTCATAACATGAAACTGAGTAATAAACTACAAGCTATTATCACAAGAACCCTACTTAAGCGTATGACCCAATCATCACTTGCGACTGCTTGGATATCGTCGAAAAGCAATTTCTTCCGAGGCAAGCTATAACCAAAGCCACATGAGGAATGTCACTATACATTCATTAACATCAAAAAGTTGCTCGTAGCATTCGCATACAATTTCTGCAACAGTTGTCTCTCAACACCATGCAAGACGCAACTAAATAATATAGTCACATCAAGCACATCGCCATTGCCAAGGCCCAAGAGCACTCTTTCATGATGAGCACGGACCGCTGTCAACCAAATAATATAAGCAGGAAGATGCTGAGACAAATATGATGAATCACTAGCAGTCTACAATCTCAGGCCAAATAGCACATAAGGCATAAAGGATAGTGCATCCCCAAACAGTGCGAGGACAAAAGAAACTACACATTAAAAACAAACAACATTTGCAAATGTAACCATAGAAATCCCAAACTTGACCCGACATGTATCTGGCAGTTAGAAGCCAATATTAAAGTCCAACGGTCCTAGAAAATTCAGGGCTCTTAACCACAAAGTAGTGAAAAAGCATTCAACAAGGGGTCCAACAATACCCCAATGATCATTGCACATTCTTCCAGATTCAGAGCTACATGCAAACCCGCTTAAATGGCCACTCACATCAACCTGAAAGAAAGGAACAATCCATACATGCACGTTACAAACTATAAGTACGCTGACTGTATCACATGTCGGAATAAATTAAGCATCATAGCAAGTCAAATATTCTCAAATAATTGAAGCATCAGGCATAAAATACTGTATGGAACCGGTCTCAGATTTGAAAATCACAGTTCTTGACATGACTAGCTTTTTGAAGAAGACACGATGAATAATAAATTATCACATGTCCTTGTATAGAGCATATTCAAGCTTGAAAACCAATCATACATTCAATATTATCATCACCTAGTGCACAAAACCCTTTCTGCTTGATTGGTTGGTTAATTTTACAGTAATTTTTAGAAACAACAACCAAAAAAAAAAGCCTTATTTCACAAGTTAAAACCGACTACATGAATTGTACAATGTTATTGTACTCCATCAATAATCAATCCTTTGGATGTATTAAGCAAAAGGTCCCGTTCAACAACTAAAACATTTTCTTTGGTCCTCCTCTACCCCTTTCATAGGATTCAAGACTATCTTCCATCCCTCTTCATAACTCGACAGTAATTCTTAGAAAATTAAAAAAATGACAAAAGGATAGGCAGTCCAGCATCCCACAATGCATCCTTTCTTTTCCTAAAAAGAATTCAATTAGAGACAATAACTTATCACGAGAATGAACATACAATTTTTCATACGAAACCAAAACATGTTAATCATAACCTACAAGAAAAGAATAAAATCAACTTCTCCTTGACTGGTTGTTGATTTTATAAAAACATTATCCTGAGCTAAGCTTATTGATTAAGCCATTGCCTAAACATGAGAATATATAATATGAAGCCAACTTCTGAGTTTTCAAAACATGTTTTTACAAATATATTTGCACTTCTACACTACAATGATTGACAGCCACAAGAGAGCCAATTACAAATACAGCACAATTTTTCCTAGAACCTACCACTCACCATTGCTATTGACCAAAGTTGGGAACACAACCCTGATAATTACCCAAGTCACCGGCAATAAATTGCCTGATCAATGTGTGGAGGAATTTGCTTTATTTCAGTGCCAAGTTCTTGCTCAATCCTATATCTGAACAAAATCGATAGGAAAAAAAAAATCAAAATCTATAGCAAGTATATTTAAATTCAAATCTAAATGTAAATTACATACAAATTAAAGCGATCCTCATAGGTGATCAAGTTAACTGCTAGACCAAGGTGCCCAAACCTCCCTGAACGACCAACCTGTGGATAGGCAAAACATCAATGAGACCAAAACACATGCAGAAAATAGCTACCAAGATAAACTAAAAAGGAGACTAAGAAGGCTCTAACATACCCTGTGCAGATAAGTTTCTGAATTTTTGGGAAAATCAAAATTAATGACCACATTAACTGCTTGAATATCTATTCCCCTGGTAAAAAGATCTGCGTTTGTTTTGCAATAAAAAGGAAACAATTATAACTTAGAAAAATGGAAGTTGAAACAAACAACCAGTTTAGCGCATACAAATTCCAAGCTTGCTCCATGCCCATCGAACAGATTCAACAAAATTGTAACAAATACTATCTTTATACCCATCATAACATTGCCAATTAATTTCACAGAAAAAATACGGATTATATTAGTATAGGTTACATAGTTAAATTCAGCAACAAAACACACCAAGATAGTTAAATAATTCAAAAGATAAAGGAAAGTTGTCACCAGCCACAATTACATATGTGAAATAGTAATTTGGGAAAATAAGACTCACCATCAGCACAGAGGCTTGAGACATTGTGGAATTATTAACTTTTTGCGGAAACACAACTTTTGGTCCCTATTGTTTTAACATACTTCATTATAGGTCCCAGTAATTTTTTTACTTGTTCCAGGTCCCTCTAGTTTATCTTGTATGCAATGTTAGTCCCTCTACTTTTGAATATGTTCAAAAGTGTCAATTTTTTTTACCTGTCACTAATACTGTTAATATAGAAGCGAAAAAAGGGGTCCAGGTTTAATTGTTAAAGGCAGCACGTGAAGTGACCCCACTTAATTGAGGGTTCTTAGAGCATTAGCCGAAGGAAAAATGCTTGACCCCATTTACTTGGACGCCAGAATACACTGTCGGATGTCGCCTTTATAGGTGTGTTAGTACATGTCAAAATATTCAACATAAGTGTGACCTTATCATCCTTTTGGGCATATTCAAAAGTAGAGACTAATGTCATAGACGAGATAAACTAGAGAGACCTAGAACCCAAAAAAAAAAAAATACGACTTGTACCGAAACACATTAAAATTATAGGGCCAAAAATTGTATTATCCCTAACTTTTTTTTCTTTGGTTTACTGTAAATAAGTTAACTCTTCAACACTTATTAGACATTCCACTTCATACTAGGGACAATTGAGTAAACTTGCTTCTTCCATAGGCCCTATAAATAGAGGCCTTCACCCCACTTGTAATTATCAAAAACATACATTCAAGGAGAATAGAAATTTTATAAGCTTCCCTGACATTAACTCTACAGACATGATTATATCTATACAAACAAGAGGGTTCAGGCAAGTGCAGAAGTGATAGAAACATACCAGTACAAACAAGATTTCTACAAGCACCATTTCGGAAGTCATGAAATACTCTGTTGCGATGATCTTGCAACATCTTTGCATGGATATAGAAGCATGAATAGCCAAGTTCTGTGATTTTCTTGGCAAGGAGCTCAACCCGATTCACCGAATTGCAAAAGATAATTGACTGATTTATTTGCAACTGAAATAAACAAGCCATCACATTATTTATCTCTGCCTAAGATCAATTTGCGGGGGGAACAAAGGATAAAAAATATCAAACCTTAGAGAAAAGCGTATTGAGGCAGTGGACTTTCTGTCTCTCTTCCACAAATGCATAAAATTGTGTAATACCTTTCAGAGTTAGCTCATCCATAAGGTTAATGATATACGGTTTCTGAAGAAATCTATCTTTGAAGTCCTTTACAGTAACAGGAAAAGTAGCTGAAAACATCAGGATTTGACGGGTTGGAGGCAGGAAGTGAATTAATTGCTCTATCGAAGGTTGGAACTCAGGTGACAAAAGCTTATCAGCCTAAAAGACAAGAAAACATTAAGCTCCTCACATTGATAAACAATTATTATAGTTAGATGACTAATGTTCAGAGTGCCATTTAAAGAACACAAGTGAAGGGCAGAAGAAAGATGTGCTCAACATTTACAACATAAATTGGAGATACATAATGCATTAGTCCCTCCGTTGCAAAATAATTGTCAACTTGAAATTGTGCGCACCCATTAAAAAATATAATAGTACTTTACTACAATACCCTTATTATAATGCTTTAAAAAACTTCTCATTCATTGATGAGTGAAATTGTCAAAAAAAAAAATTAAGCTTTCTTGAAAGAAACCTGAAGTAATTATTTTGAAACAAAACCAAACCTCCAAAGTGACAATTATTTTGGAACGAATGGAGCATTACCAACTTGGAAGTATAATAACAGATCCCCAATCCTAACAGATTTAACAAAGCAAAAGAGATACCTAACTGGGCATCAGCGACCAGATCGTAATTTTCGAATAACCTCAAATCCTGGTTCTTCAAAAAAGTTCTTAAACCCCCCCCATCCCCCAACTGGGTTTTATATACAATTGTAAATTTAGGTGAAGTTATTTACCTCATCCATAACAAGCATGCTACAGTCTTTCAAAATACATACACCCTTCTTTGCAAGATCTAATATTCTTCCTGGAGTTCCAACAAGTAAATGAACAGGTTGATATAAACGCATAATATCATCTTTCAGGCTGGTACCACCCGTTGTAACCATGACTTGAATTTTCAGATGCTTTCCCAGCTCTTTACACACTTGTGATGTTTGCAAAGCCAATTCACGGGTTGGGACCAGTATAACAACTGCAAGATAGATTATAAGCAAAAACAGTCAGCATGAGTAGTGACTATCATCGATGCTCATTCAACTTAATTGGGACAGTATCAACAATGGCACCAGCCTTCTGCCATGACCATTTTTGATCAACTTGGAAAGAAAATTCTATCTCTACAATTATCTCTCCTGTCTAATAATAACAAGGATGAAAGAGCAGTAAATAAAAAATAATCAACTAAAATAATTTTAAAATAATCTAAAATGTATGGACAAAATACAAATTTTTCTCAACGCAGTGTCGTTTCAGGCTAAATGCCAGAAAATAATTCCATGTCCTTTCAAGCCCAACTGATATCCTAAAAGGCTCCACTAGTTTCTTTCAGCTTCATGAGCAAGGCACTAACTTTTCAACACAACAAAGAGGAAGGCGCTAATACATTAAAATGTTCAATCAGCTGCAGGTTGCTAAAGAATCTTTATCAATAATACTCCATACAAGACTAAAACATTTTCCAAGAAATAAAGCTTTTAGCAGAACAAACCTTGAATTACATTGTTATCCTGATCAATTTTTTCCAGTGCAGGAATGCAAAATGCAGCTGTTTTTCCAGTTCCATTTTTTGCTCTAGCAAGAATGTCACTACCAGTAAGAGCGATTGGGATACTTTCTTCCTGGATAGGAGAAGGCCTTTCAAAACCCTTCTCATATATTCCCATAAGCAGCTCACGCTTCAAAAAGTAATCTTCAAATTCATTTCCTTTAGTTGCTGTCACATCCTAGGGAAAACAAAAGACAGGCGAAGACAGATATAAATGTTAAAATTAAATAAGTTCCCAAAACACCATAAACAATAGACATTAAATGACCGAACCATAGATGGTATAACTTATTGGGCTTTTCAAGTGAATAGAAAAACATCATGTGAACGCCCAAAACCATAAACACACTGTTATAAGAATACAGTTCAAGTTTCATAGGATAAAAAAAATCCCCATGAATTGTGAAACTAAATTAAATTGCATTGGTTATGATAAGTAGAATCCAGCAAACCTTTTCTACATCTTTATCCTTACATTAAGCACAAACAACTAAAGCACTTCAGATGTACTCTACAATCTTTGTGACTAACAGCCTCTAACCTTTTTTTTGAAAAACAAGGCAGAAAAAAAGAGACGTGCATCTTATAATGCTGGTCTAAAGACAAAATCAACTTCAACAAACAGTTTCAATAAATTATTTTATGAAATAACAACTAGATCCTAGTAAAGATAAATAAAATCAGAATAGCAAAGAAATAGGAAATCACAAATAACGCGTTATACCCCTACAAATCTCACTCAAAATGTAAGGGCAAAATCCAGTGCATATAACCCATCACACGAAGCATAAGATAATAGTACTCATAAGCATACCTCAGTCCTATAGCGTGTATCAGGTGGTGGTATCTTTAATCTAGCCTTCCAATCTTGAGAACTACCAAGACAAAATAAAGGAGGATAATATTAGGACACCTTCAATTCTTTTACTAGAATCTAAAAATTAGTTGTATTCAGAAGTGAAGTATGCTGCTGTGGTGACAATGCATGCCACAGTTGTCTAGTAAATAGGTTTACATAGTGCCAGTTCCAAAATCTTCCACAAACTCAAAAATCATAGTCGATCAAATATCAACCCCATGACATAAAAATCTCATCAGGCATTAAGCCTGCAATATGGGAATAACAACTCCACCATGCATTAAAGTATTGAGGTGCAATATATTTGCATGGATAAAATAGGTTCAATTTAGTAATCAGGCATTACTTAAAATATACAAAATCAGAACCATGGTGAACTGAAAGAAGAAGAAAAATGAGAAAGCCAAGAATCAATCAACCACTTCCATTTGTTTCATAAGTTAGCAAACTGATGACCATTTAAAACAATCCCAATTTTAAATACCTTGCAAGCAACCAGATAGAAGAAAACCAAAAGCCCCAGAGTCGCTTCTTGTACATAGAGACAAAGAAATTGGACAAATTGTTATATTGACCGTCAAAACGATGTAAAGCACACCTAAATTTCTCAACAAATCTAGTCACACGAATACCAAGCCCAAAAAAAAAAAAAAAGTCTCTAACTACGAAGATGTTGCCGTTTATTTCTCTGATGTTCTTAGGAAGAGAGTCAAGCTCGCTCACATCGTACGGAAAAGGTTAAAGGTCTCATGCCAAATACATTATTTTCTAACCCAAATTTTCAAAAAGTTATACATTTCCAACACATTCAGTCTTAACACATTACACTTCCATTATGAGGAGCATGTCTAATGCATAACATTTCAAGAACCACACCTTGAATCAACGGCTTCAGACTGCACAGTCTTCTCGACCTCGTCAACTACGTTAGAATCAGTGCCACTCAATTGCGTTCTTCTAAGCCATTGCTGCTGCTGCTGTTGTAACTGCTGATGTTGCTGTTGATGCTGCTGATACTGATGTTGATACTGCTGTTGATTCTGCACCAAATGTCTTTGCACATACTGTTGCTGAGGGGCTCGTGGCTGAAACGCAGGGTTTGAGTTCATACCTCCCCCTCGGCCTACGCCAATCCCAGGCGGATATCTAGCTCTATTGTTCATTCCGCCGATTCAAAAGAAAAACCTACAGAAATTTCCACCAACAAATGTACAAAATGTCAAAGATGCTACCAACTACAAATTTAGCGTTTCTCGCAAAGTGGAACCAAACCCACGAATGCTTCTAGAAATGGCTCGCGTTTAAACCTAAATCTGCCAAAATCTAAAATTTCTGAGTATAATACAGAGCTAAAGGACCCAAAAATAGGGATCGTTTCTCCTATGATGGCAGGAATAAAGTGAAGGCAAAAATCGTTAGGGATTTTGTACAGATCTATCGCAAAAAGAGTGCAATGAAAAGTGAGGATTGGCGGTGATCTATATTCTGCCAAGAAAAATTGATGAAAGCCCAGAAATCGAACAAGAGGAGAGTGATTTCTTAATTCTCTTGCTTGGTACTTCTTGTGATTGATTGGAACGTTAGAGTAGTAGCAGGAAAAATGGCGAGACCTCCTTCCAAGTTACTAGGGCATCAAGAAGAAGATTGATTCTATTTACTGAATGGCCCCGCTTCTTCGCTAATAATGCACAAAGCGTCCAACTTCTTCTTAACCGAGTTTTTTTTTTTTTTTTTCTTTTTCTGGCCATTACAGACCGCCTTTGTAAATTATAATAATAATAATAAAGTCGGCAAAAATAGTATTAATCATCATCATCATAATAATAAAGAAAAATAAATAAAAATAAAGGCACGTTCGTTGTTCAGTCTCGATCTTTTAGACTGAAAGGTCTGGAGAGTACTTTCAAAAATTAAAAGTTATTTGATTAATTTTTTTACTTCAAAGAATACATTTACTAGACTCTTCAAAAGTCACTTTTAGCTTTCAAACAATATTTAGTTAATTTTCATCGGTCATAAAAGTATACATGTATTATCTTTCAAATATTTTTTAATTCACCAAATAGATTTTTTAAAAAGTATTTCTAACAAAATTTTTGCTATTTTCAGTAAAAAAACAAAAATTTTGTTATAATAATTAATTTTCACTGAACTGATTTTTAGTAGATTGACTTTTTATTAGTGTTGTTTTGCTCGCTATGACATGTTATGGTATTAATTTTAAAATTTTTTTATTCTTATAATTTACAGGTCATTATTTACATTTATCATTTAGTAATTGCCATTATTTTTGTTGGCCCAAAAAACTTACCATTATTTTTAATTCCACGCAATTGTTAATGCTACCATCTTATCTTACATTGGGCTGTATGTAGTCAAACTTGTTTAGCTTTATCCTGTTAAGATACATTGGTTAATCACACATTCACACTTATATTGAGAATAGAATATTTAACAATTTATGTGTTCCTACCATTGCATAGAAAATCAGATTGGACCAGCCAAGTCAACCTATGAACAGGTGATTTGGCCTTTTCACTGATTTGGTTTTCATCCTGACCCAGTCAGCAAGTGACTCGATATAAGCCGGCCAACCTAAGGTCAAGCCGATGTAAACCAAATAACCCAATAGGTTAGATGGGTCAACTAAGTTACTTATTTTGCTCTTCAAAAACCATAAAAATTTCTATTTTGCCCTTTAAAATATCTAAAATATCACGTTTTTGAGTTTTTTTAAAAAAGAAAAAACTAAAAAAGCAAAAAGGCTTTGCTGGTTTTGCTTTTGAATGTTGAAGTCAATTGATCGAACCCTACCCCTATTAGCTCTGAACACTTATCCCTAGCCCTAGCTTAAATCAAACCCCACTCGTCAGTCATCGACCATTATCATTGCCCTTTTTTGCTATTGTTACTCTCTTGGGCTCCTAGTTTTCCTAATTCGTACTCTATCTTTCTCTCCATGTAGTAAAAGTGTGAAACTCAACGTGATCATGATGCATAATTTGTGTCGCTCTTAGCTGTCCTCTCTCTTATCGTGGAGCAAAACTTGCCGTAAAGCAGAACTTATTGTAACGTTACTATCCTCTATCTCTCTCAGTGAATCTCCTTGTCATCTAGTCATTAGTTTTTTAATTGCTATGCCTCTTCCTTCTCTACATTTTTAATTCAGAATAAGTGGTTTTTACATTATTTGTTGTTATTAATTTATCTATTGTTGCTTAGCATTTCTGATTGTTTTTGTCTATTGTTATTTTTTATTATTGTTAGACTTTTGAGTAGTTATATTTCTATAATTATTGTTGTATTGATATCTTATATTAAAGATTAATCTTGGATTTGATTGAATATTTTTATAATTAATGTCTTTTTATTTAAATTATATTATTTTAATTATGATCAGTTTGCCACTGGTTTGACCCATGGTTCAACCCCAGTTGAACTGCTAACCCGTGACTCAATGCCTTGACTGGTTCAATGACCAGTTTGATTTTAAGTACCTTGGTTCCTACAACATGACATAGAAGCTAACGGTATATTTTCCCATCCATTGCATATGCATTTTTAAATATCTAAAAGCAACATGCACTTGTGCCAGGGGTGATCATGTGATGGGATAAGATCGAAACATTCTTGTCTTGTATCTTATCTTGAAAAATTATTGGGAGTGAATTTTTGTTTCGTGTCCTACCTCATCCTGAAGTTGTCCCATCCTAATAAGAATCATAAAAAGATTAAGATGTCCTATTGTCCTTATAAAAGCAAAAAATGTAGGAAAAATGTTTAAATGATAATTAAATTGCATGACTTATTAAGTTGAAACCTAAAACAATATGAGTACATAAATCACAATAATTTAAAGCAATTACTGAATTACATCAATTACAACTACAAATGTATAATTCAAGGCCAAATATATGTGAGACATGATATATTATGATAGCAATTACAAGTGACTTCCAAGCTATAAGAGTAGCAATAATAGACAAACAAGATACAACATTAAGTTATTGTTCATTTTCTTTAATATATGTTAAAATAATACATCTTTCAAAAATAAAGCAAAAAATAAGATATAAATAAAAATTATTAAATAGATAGGTATATGAATAAACTATATTAATATAATTAATATATTGTAAAGAAAGATATTACTTTCTACTACTTGCTCTATGTTATTAAAATTATCAATATCAATAATTTATAGTTTTAAATAGGAATTATAAATATTTAAATTATAATTAATATAATTTATGATTAATGTAATTAGAATAAAAATATATTATATTAATATATTTAATATATATTTTTAAAATAAAAAATAACACACATACATATATAACATTCAAAATGGGATGGGATGTTCCAAGAATAATCTCATATCCCATCCTATCCTGAATCCCTTTTCCATCCTAGAAAAAAACTTATTTTAATATGATTAGAACGAAATTGAACCAATTAAAATGATACATAGTTGAACACCTTGAACCCCATCGAGCATAACGTGGCTTTGGCTATCAAAGAGAAGGCAATTTTAGGCAACCTTAACAAAAATATTCATAGGATAAGATGAATGACTTTGCTGAGAGCATGACAGAAAAAATGGTCTTGTTTGGCAACATGTTATGAACCAATTTTTATTTCTTTAAAATAAAAAAATAACAAAATCTAATTGACAATTTGTCTTTAAAAAGTATTTGAAAAAAATTATTTTAGAAAATAAAAAAATTAAAATTTCTTTTAAGTGTTTTAGAATTATTATTTTAAAAAATAAGAGAAATGCAAGAAACACTTATTTTCATTATTTTTTTTTATTTTTAGAACATATGTTACAAAATATCAACCCTCAAAACAATAAAACGAAAATTGTTTAAAACAAGTCCAATTTTACTTTTTTTTCTCTCTTTAGACAAATCTTATGGACTAATTTTACTGTAAGAATTTCAATTCCTATTGATTTCATTGTGAGGATTTTAATTATTTTTTGATGATGATGATTTTAGTCTTGTTTGGATGACAGATCCTAGATGTAACTTCTAAGAGTTGTATGTTTCTTACAAACAATTGAATTGGCGCAAAACAATCCTGGCAACAAAAAGGAACTTGCACGAAATAATATGTTTGAATTTTTTTGGGGATAATAACATAGCAGTGTGTGTTTACATAAAATTTTCTCCACTATTCCTTTAGATATGGCTTTTAGCTGTTGAAATCGTTATCATATATGTAAACAAAACATGGAAGGATTGCTTCTTCTGGTAAAGGATCGAAATTCAAAAGGTTGTCAAAATAAAACTATGTTGAAGCTTTGCCTTCTCTCCAAGTAGAAGGTTCAACTTCTTTCTCGTTTCCTTTTCTTACATATCATTCTTGCTTTACTCTTCTCTTCTCCATGAACATCAAACCACCTGTCAATCTAAATTTCACATTCTCAATAACGCCATCACATAAAGAGATCATGAATCCACTTGCTTTTAAGGAAGAGATTGATTTACTACTTAGAAACAACTCAAAGCTAGATGATGAGATGATTGATAAAGTTTCAGAATTACAATAGCAATCAAATGTTCAGTCTCTACATAAGAACATAGCCATTTCTAAGAACTATCATAAGCAACCAATGGAAATACAATCCAATGACGATCCTATTGATAATGCAAACTATAATAATCTTTCACTAATTTGAAGGATTAAAGCTCTTATCTCTTATAAGGAGTCACGGATCGATTATAATGGTTGTTATGGAATCAATGTTAGGAAGGAAACAAATTATAGAAACGAAGCTCTTGCAAAAGAATTAGATAAGGCTTGGTCACCATCTGAAAGAATAAAAAAAACTAATGGACCAATAGCTAGCCCTACAAATTTCAAATGAGGAATAGAAGAAAATATGATTGCCCTCGATGGATGTCATAGTCATCAACACACTAGGATTACATCTCAATCCTAGATCCCTCAAACCCAGTTAGCTAAAATATGGCAACTAAAAGATTTTGAATTGATAGATATGATTAATAGTTACTACATTATTAGAACCAAGGATGAATCAGCCTTTGATAAAATTCTAAATGGTGGTCCTTGGACAATCTTTGATCATCGCATACCTATGCAACGCTGGTCACCTAGTTTTAACCTAAACTCAAATATCTTAGGTAAAGTTGCCCTATGGGTCAGATTATCTAATATCCCTATACAATGTTATGACAAAGAAATACTATGGAGATTAGGAAATTGCATAGGAAAAACCTTGAAGGTTGACTCTAATTCTTTATCTGAATCTAACTCTAAAGATGAATAGGGGAAAATATAAAGGGAGAAATTTGTGAGGATTAGTATTGAAATTGACCTCCAAAAAAAATTGGTACTCAAGCAATTAATTAAAGATGAATTATATAATGTGGAATATGAAAGTCTAAATTTGATCTGCTTTAAATGTGGATGCTAAGGGCATGACAAAAACAATTGCCCCTACAACTTAAAGAACATAAATGATAATATATCTAAAGAATATGTGAACACTGTTGGCCAAAATAACAACAACAATCAACAGTGTTTGAAGAAGGTTGAAGATGAAAATCAAAATCATATAACTCGAAACTCATCGGAAAACATCCTTGACCTGTTAGAAGAGGAATATGGAGAATGGATCACTCAAAAAACTCCTAATTTTTTAGAAACCTAAAAGA